CAACATCGCCAGCAAGTTGAAGCGGATCGAAATTGCCGTGTTCACCGGAGAGAAGCGAAAATACGAGCGCTGGAAATCCGCTTTCAGCGTTTGTGTGGACCAGCAGCCGCTCTCCGCTGAATTCAAGCTGCTGCAACTCCGACAGTACGTGGCGGGTGAGGCACTGGATGCCATCGAGAGTCTCGGCTACTCGGCAGCAGCATACGATGCTGCTCTGCGGCGGCTGGAGCGACGCTTCGGTGGGAGTCGCCGGCGCCTTGCGGTTAGGATGGAAGAGCTGGAACGATCTCCACCTATTCGATCCGGTAGAGCCCAGGACCTGGAGCGCTTTACCGATGTGCTCGACATGGCAGTGGTGACGTTAAAGGATGCCGGTATGCACACCGAGCTAGGTACCGGCATTCTCTACCAGCGGATCCAGCAGAAGCTGCCGGTGAACTTGTTGGCCCAGTATCGCCGCTGGATAGTACACCACCAAAAGGACGAATCGGTCGAGGTGCTGCTGGAGTGGCTGAATGCCGAGGCAGAAGTTCTTGCTGCCGCCACGGAAACTATCGAAGGCATCAGCCAGCAGCATCACGTCAGAAGCCAATTGTCAACCAGCGGGACAAGTCGAAATCAGCCGACTCGGACGGCAACTGCTCACGACGCTGTGCAACCGCGCACGACCACGTTTGTGACAGCTACAAACACCGCTGGCAACGTGCCGACCGCAAGGTCCACATGCCAATGCTGCAATGGTGGCGAGCACCCGATCTGGCGCTGCCCAGAGTTTGAGAAACAAACTGTAAGCCAGCGCTGGGCAGCGGCGAAGCGAAGCAAGTCATGCTATAGATGCCTTGCGACTGGGCACAGCGGCAAGGATTGCCCACGGGACCGGGAGTGTGGTATCGACGGGTGCACGCAGCATCACCATCGCCTGCTGCACAGTGAGCCCCGTCAACCGCCTCCAGCGTCGTCAACCCACGCCTCCGGAGAGACTGGAGCCATGCAGCCGGAGAACTTCAGTGCTGTCTCCCTCGGAAACAGCACGAAGGGAGAGGAGAATAGAGTACGGACGGTGACGTCGATTCGGACAGTTCCCGTTCAGCTATCCAACGGCAAGCGGTCGCTAACTGTTAACGCGCTGCTGGACGACGCCAGCACGCGCTCGTACATAGCGAGCAATGTTACGGCAGAACTCGGCCTGCTTGGATCAAGCATGTCGCTGACCATCAGCAAGCTGAATGGACAGCAAGAGACCATTCACACTGTGCCAGTATCGTGCACTCTGCGAAGTGTTGACGGAGCCACGTCGACGACTCTCCATGCGTGCACAATCGAGCAGCCAACAGGCAACATGGAAGTTGTAGACTGGCATCACCTGGGAAAGCAGTACGCACATCTAGCCAACGTTGAGTTTCCGCCGCTACCGTCGAAACGCCACATTGACGTGCTTATCGGTGCCGACTATCCGGAGCTTCACATGGCGTATGAAGAGCGCTCGGGTAACAGCCATGAGCCCGTGGCGCGTCGGACGGCATTAGGTTGGACCTGCATCGGCCCAGTCAATCAACCGACGGACGAGTCCATCGAGCTGATTGCGGTGACCGTCGACCAATGCCACAGCGAGCTGAATCGTCTAGAGCCAAGCCGCTACTCCGACTGGGTACGAATGTGCCGTGTTCATGCTTGGTGTGTGCGATTCGCTACGAATTGCTCAGTACCACCCGCACAACGAGAGTTTGACGAATTATCGCCACCAGCGATCCGAGACTCTGAGGAGTTCTACATCAAGCGAGCGCAGCAACAGTCGCTACCAGAGTATGCTGCAGTTAAGGCAGGCAAGCCGATCCCTGCAACCAGCAAGCTGGTCTCGCTCAAGCCAATGATTGACGACGCTGGCCTTCTACGCGTCGGAGGTCGACTACAGCATGCAGACTTCTTGACTGCAGAACAACGCAATCCGATCGTCCTACCACGAGGGGATCATGTGACACAGCTGATTGTCAAGGCATGTCACGAACGAGGATATCACGCGTTCGGTGTCAGCCATACGCTAGCCGAACTCTCGTCGCGCTACTGGATCGTCGCTGGCCGCGAAGAGGTGCGAGCTTGGGAAGCCAAGTGTGCGAGGTGCGCCCGGAGCCGTACGAAGCCGGCAATGCAGGTGATGGCGCCACTACCTAAGGTCCGAGTCAGCCTGCCGCTACGCGCATTCGGCCGAGTCTCTGTAGACTACGCCGGACCGTTTATGACGAAGCAGGGTCGCGGCAAGACACAACACAAGCGGTATCTGTGCTTGTTCACGTGCTTGCAGACGAGAGCAGTGCATCTCGAGCTGTCATACGCGTTGACAACGGACTCGTTCCTGCAGGCGTACGTACGCTTCACCAATCGACGGGGAGTACCGATCGACGTCATCTCCGACAATGGCACGAATTTCGTCGGCGCCACCAATGAGCTTGCTCAGCTAGTCAAGCAGCTTGATGCAGAGGCGATTCAGCGGCAGACAGCGGATCAGCAGACTAGCTGGCGTTTCAACCCTCCAGCAGCACCACATTTCGGCGGAGTGCATGAGGCGTTAGTGAAATCGGCAAAGCGTGCTATCTCGGCGATTCTGAAGAACGCGGAGGTCACAGACGAGGAGCTATAGTCTGCTATCGTCGGCGCGGAGGCGCTCATGAACTCACGGCCACTGTCCTACGTGTCGGCAGATGGTCGTGACCCAACTCCGCTAACGCCCAATCATTTCATGTATGGCCAAATCGGTACTCGGTTCGCACCTGCAGGAGTGGACGAGAGCGAGTTCAACCCTCGGCAACGCTGGCGTGTAGTGCAAGAACTCGTGCTGCACTTTTGGCGGAGATGGATGCAGGAAGTCGTGCCAGAGCTGAACCGGCGACTCAAGTGGAGGACGGCCGAGACAGACCTCAAGGTCGACGACATCGTTCTAGTGACATCCCAAGACAACCCACGGGGCACTTGGCCAATGGGTCGTGTCACCGAAGTGCACCCTGGTCCAGACGGACACGTGCGAGTTGTGAAGGTCAAGGTGGGCGACAAGACCTACACCCGCCCAATCGTGCGTCTTTGTAAGCTATTCTGTGAGTAGCTCCTTGTTTGCCTATTTCAGAACAATAATCAATTTCGAATTTTTTGGTCACTGTGAATTTCGGCACAGTGAGAAGGGAGAGAAATGTTTAGAAGAGTATCTCTTTGTCGTTGTTACTATAATCGAGTGGCACATTCGCACTACAATTCTACGAGTGCTAGTTTGAAATTACGTTACGAATTGTTACATTGTACAGCAGGTACGAAACAATTAATATTTACATACTCACCGGTTTTCGTTTCGGAGTCCCGCGCTGTGACTCAGCTAATTTCTATTTCGTTTGCCTTGTATTGTCTGAATAGGGGCGCTGTCACCCCGTCGGGTGCAAGCACCCTTGGACAGAAGCACTTCACTTCACGACAAGTGTTCATTTTCGTTTTCCTCTTCTGCTTCTGTTGCACAGTACAGTTTGAACTTTGAATGTGTGCTTTTTTCGTACTCTGCTCTCGATCGAACCATGCGCGGGTCGATCTCCATAATTTTATCTTCCGTTGCCATGACTGGCATTAGTACGCGTTCTGTACTCACTCGCTGCTTGGCACGCTTGCAGCGCGTCTTTTTTCTGTTGCAACCCAGTGCCTGCGTGCACGGTACGGGATTTGCGATGCCACATCAGCGTTGGTGTGTTGTTGTGTTTCGTTGTTGTTTTGGTCTTTGCTGAGTGTGGTCGTTAAAACTGAGAAAGAACGGGTCGTTGACAAGGCGTGGTTTCGATGTGCATGCCCTCCTGTCAACTCCAAACTATCCCTCTTCTTTGTCTGTAAAGATTATTCAGATTTTGCATCAACTTTAGAAGAGCGCATGCTCCAGTGGTTCCTGTCTTCCAATACTTCTTCTCATAGTAATACTCATGAGACTACAAGATAGTCTTCTGAGAGTGCTTAGGGAAAATATTGGGTTGCCAGAGCAGCTAACAAGTGTAGTGGTGCAATTCCACGTGGATGAAGTATGAACTTTACATACAAAATACCATGACATCATTGCACTACTTCCCTGCTTAAAGGGGAAGTTAAGGCAAAAATTAAAATTTTACCAGTTGTAGTCTTCGGGGTGCTGAGTCGAATGGTCTTGGTCCGAGAAAGCTGAGACGCTCCCTTCCTACTTGAATCCCAATCGAACTCGCGCACTTCCACCGAAACTGGGTGACTGCGCCCTACGAGATGGGGATTTGTATGCAAAATGTCACTAAAAGCGCCATTTCGTTCTTATAAAAGCACGGATGACCGCGATTGGCCCATATGTTGTAGTCTTTTGGACGCTGAGTCGACTGGTTTTGGTCCGAAAAGGCTGCGATGCAGCGTTCCTCCTTTATTCCCAATCGAACATGGTTGAAGAAGTGGTCACGTGCTCCTGGGTGCCAAAATCACCTGGTCACCACGCCAGCAGGCGACAACTTTCACACCAAGGTTCAACTCGAGTGACAGGACTGCACCCAAAAAAGGTCAAAACAGGCTGTAAGTTGTACCCTGCAGGCACGGTGACCAGGTGACTGGTGTACGCAGGAGCACGTGACCGCTTGTTCAACCATGTTCGATTGGGAATTAGGGGCGAACGCTGCATCGCAGCCTTTTCGGACCGAAACCAGTCGACTCAGCGTCCAAAAGACTACAACATATGGGCCAATCGCGGTCATCCGTGCTTTTATAAGAACGAAATGGCGCTTTTAGTGACATTTTGCATACAAATCCCCATCTCGTAGGGCGCAGTCACCCAGTTTCGGTGGAAGTGCGCGAGTTCGATTGGGATTCAAGTAGGAAGGGAGCGTCTCAGCTTTCTCGGACCAAGACCATTCGACTCAGCACCCCGAAGACTACAACTGGTGAAATTTTAATTTTTGCCTTAACTTCCCCTTTAAATTAACTGGGTGCAAGTGTTAGAACTAACTTTATGGCAATCTTTTACTCACATGGATCCTTGACATCTTCATCAGGATGATCATTCTTGCGAGTTTTCCAAATTCTCTCCAGCAGTCCACCAACAGCAACATTGGATGGGAAAGAAGAAGACTGGATGCCTTGAATGAAGTTCTGGACACCTGATGGCCCTCTCTTGTAGGTAATCAACCAGCCAACATAGCCGGCTAACCTACCCTTTTCTGAACACCTTCTGTTGGCGAAATGCTGCTTATTCGCCATCACATGTCTCCTCAGTATGGGATCTCTGCTGATACGTGGATGATGTTCATCCAGTGCCATGACGGCCTTCTTGAATGCTTCATGAGTAATCTGGCATTGAGCTATGTCATGCCATGCTGGCAGGACAACATCATCCCAGAAGTCAAACGGCATCGTTCTAAACACAAAGTTATACAAAACAAAAAAACACAAGAACATGAATATGCCTCTTCTGACCGTCGATGAATGTGCTGAAAGAGAATTCAAGTATGACTGACAATCAACCAGAAGACCGGCTGTACAGTGTCACACAATACAGGTACATATATACTAGGGCTGAAACGATTATACCGAATAATCGAGTACTCGTTTGATAACTCTAACGATCGAGCAATCGTTTAGATTACCGATTACGATTATTTTGCGTTTTTTAAATTTGTGTCCAGAAAGTACTGTTAACCCTCGTTTTGTGAAGTTTGAATCAGTTTCCGCTGGGAGTATGCAGTTGCCAGGGGTATGGTTCATGTTCTGAGGTTAAATTGACTTCAAAACTGCCATGTTTCGGAGCTACTCGTTCACTAATGCAGATTTGTTGGTAGTATGAAGGCATAGTTTGTGGAAACAGAGTAAACAAAGACCACACTACTACTGTGACCTGTATCTTTCTGTTGTGTGTGCGGTGTGTCTGCGGTGTACGCAGAGGACAGCTAGCTGGCAAAAAAATACACACAATCATTTCACTACATCGTGGGTAAAAGATATTCATGGTTCACGTGATACTGAGTTAGACTGAGTTTGCGAATCTGCAGGAACTCCACCACGCTCTATGGATCAAGGGTGCAGATGCAGATTTTAAAGTGATGGGAGGTGAGTTGATCACTGATCAGACCTACAATCAAAGAGGTCAAAATCAGAAAATCCCATTCACTGCATTCATGGTGAACTCCATTGTATGTAAACGCTGTGTGAATGACAAGAGGCAGGGGTGTTGGAATGTATTTTAGAATGGTACTGTCAGCCATCTGAAGTACAATTTACTCGTGGGGTTGGGGTGGTTCCTATGAAAATTTGGAAATTTAGACCTCAGATCAGTGTGTTTTATTGATTCACAGGGTACCCGGGATGAAGAGTGGTACGGTCAATACCATAGTGACCGTAGCGTGTCCGACGCCCCTGCAAGAGGTTCATGTATAAGGTTTCGTGAAATATTACAATAGAGACGGATATACAAGTACTTCAGTACAGGGGAAGTATGCATCAGTTCGAGGACAGTGTTGAGGGTCAATGTTCTGTGAATGTGAAGTTGAATACTCTCCTCAAGCATGACGTGAACAGAACTGCGCTGACCCATGTGAAGCGCAATCAATATAATTACAGTTTTATCTTTTGCCTTTGTCATTTCCCTGTATCTCTGCACTACTGTTCTAGTACGTTCCATAGAGTGAATTTGACTTGCAATACAACTACATGTAGGTATCGTTAACACGGGTTTTCTTCACGTCTTGCAAATCTAAATCAATTCTCCACATAGGATAACTGCAACCCATCTTGCCAGCCTGGCAATAACTGACTGTACTGCTTGAAGGTTTCAAGGTCTACCCCTCTTAGTCATGTGACATTTTTACAGAGTGTATACATGCACTGTACCTTACCGTAAATACTGGATAGCTGCAGATACAGTGCAGCTTCGGTTTTCCAGCACAAGTCACACTAGTGGCTTATCATCAACACATCACTCTGACTCGACAGAAAACAACGCAACGATGTTAGTACCGTTGTCGTTTAGACCTCGTTGTCACCGACGGACACACGAACCGACAATGATTTTTTTCGATGATACTGAACAGGTCTACTTTCTCTGATTCTGGGACAAGGGTATGCTGCCCAGGAGACTACAGTGTACAAAACTGCTATCAAACACAATGGTCCTGTACCTCTTCTTTGCAGATGAACGGACCGGTAATAACTGCGTCTTCACCAAACACACACACACACATACAGACGCAGGTGCAGTGCAGGTGCAACGGGAACAGCTACATGTATGATGATTTCCTTAGTGGCCGGCTTGGGTCGTTGGTGCCAATGCCGGGCAATGGCAATGGTGGCTACCGCGTCCCGGTGGATCGTCGTTACGGACAGAGCCGGTTTGGCGCCTTCATTCTGGCCTTGGGGGGGGGGGGGGGATGCATTCATTGGGTGGCCGCGTGAGATTCGTAGAGTCTCTGCATTCTCAACAATCATAGTAACCATGGTAACTAGGCGGGGTAAGGACAATCGTTGCTATGGTGAATCATGTACAGTGGTCCCTGTATAATCCGGCACCATTTGTGCCACGAAAATCTGCTGGATTAGGGAGGGTGCTGGATTAACAAATCTGATTTACTGCTGCAATGTGCATGAAGAGGACATTTGGCTACTGAAAATTGTGCTGGTTTATCGAGGGTGCTGGATTATAAAGTGCCGGATTAGAGAGGGACGACTGTATTGTGAAAATGACACGAAAAAGGAACCAACCCTTGCTTGGGATATCCGGATGATGTATACAGCATCGGCTACACCCAAATGATTTTCTAATTAATTTTCCCTAAACTCCAAGGCAACCACTGAAACATACAGTATGATTCACTTCTCCAACCCCAACAACGGTCTCTTCACTGCGAAAAAACATTCCACCAAATTTTCGAGACTGACCCTTCATTAGGCTGAAAACACACAGAAAACCTGGAACCCACAGTCTCTACACAAGTCATACATACATGGAGACAGGCGGTATGCTGTACATACTCGCTAACGCCTCCCAAAACTAAATTAATCTCTTAGGAAACCAAAAGAGGTGAGTACTGTCGGCCGCCCAAGAACGGCTAGAATTTCACCACGCACAGCATACCAATGTATACACGGTGACTCAAATGTGCATTGAGTACACTATACACGTACATGAAAATAAGAGCAGTTTTCATGTAGGTTACTAGGCAGACCCAGCGACCAACAGTACATGTACAAGTAGAATGTACACTGTACTAACTCCACTCAATACCCGCCATTGTCCAACTAACAACTTATACAATCATATTGAGCAAGTACAGTCAGCCATATTCCCAATGCACTGATGAGTTATTCCCTGTCTGACATTGTGATAGTTCAGTTTCGTGATAACCGTGTGATGCCGTCAAGCATAGAGATCAAGCAATACTGTACAACTCGTACAAGCCCACATACAGTATACGTCAGTACAAACTTCTTGCAATCCGAGTAACTCTCCATAATCTCAGGCAATGCAACTTTCAGACGTGAATATGCCGCTGAGTAAGTTTTTCGGCTACTCAGACTACAAGCGCAGAAAGAACATAGGCTAATGTCAAGAGAGTAAAAACTATGAGCTCTGCTAAAAGGAAAGGTGAATGAAGGATATCCGATAGTATTGAAATCATGAAACAGACAGTACTCTTGTAAATTTGAACGATACGCAGAGAAATCGCACAAAAGGTTGTAAAATCAATAAACTCATAGAATAAGAAAAGGGTTTGCTCCCCACACCGGAGCTCGCACTACTTTTTCCAAACTCATAGAATCATAATAAAATTATATTAAGCCACCAACAGTTACGCTCTTCAGCGCAGCTGAGCAGCTCAAAATGTAGCCCAAAAGGGATCACGTTTCCGTGCAACGAAGCAAAGCATACACATTATAGATAGCAAATACATACTAGCAGTGTAGTAGAGTGTGGATTTCATTACACTCTAACTTGCATTTTCAACCATTTCACTGAGCAATTAATTCTAGCAATAATACAGCACAAAGGAAAGTGTAATTCAATCATATCTACATCAGTTAGAATGCCAGACAAAATCTCAAAACAGAGTAAAAGAAACACAACTGGAAAACGTCTTGGAATACCTGAACACACTTGATCAGAAACAATACGATCGTTCAGTAGAGTCTGCACACACCATTCACTGATACAGCTCATTGTGGGTACATAGCAGCTCATGGCGGGTCCACCAGCAGAGTAACCTTCACAATCCCTACAGGGACAAAAGCACACACACACAAAGAGACATTCATCAATGCACTGAGTCCTGGAACAATACACGTACTAAGCCTCATGTTGACGGCTTCAAACAACATTGTACATCACGAACTTCGTTCTAACGTTCTCTGAGACTCTCAGTACACTTGCATACTGGACTATCACATTGCCCAACCACGCTGCATCTCTGCCAAACTGGACAGAGAGCAGAGCATAGGATGTGTGTGTGTGTGTCGGGGGGGGGGGGGGGGGGAGGAGGAAGAGACTATGAGAACATAATGAATTACAAGAGCGTATTCAACATGTCCACAAATAACACATGTACTTAGCTGCTTGCTCTGTGCAGCCCCCCCCCCCCTCCAACACACACACACACATACCCATGAGTCTGGCCTCATTGGTGCACAAGTGTGCTTCCTTGAAATTGCTTTCCCAATTCCAGTAAAGGATTGGACCAAACAAACCTTGAACAAAGAAGACAGGAAAACCTTCCGACACGTACAGCTGGTGATAAAAAAAGTAAGCACAGATGGAAATAGTGTCATAACACTGAACAGCAATATGCTTACAGAGGATATCTCCAGTAGCTTCAACTGGAGGAGATCAGCAAGCTCCTGGTGGGCCAGCTTCTCACTCTCTTTCAGAGCGGATACAAACTGACGGAACGCCTGCTTGCCACAGCCCGGCAGTGCTTCCAAGAAGACAGACGCCTGAGACACAACATTCCAATAAAAAAAGAGCCAGTCACCACAGTACACAACAACGACAACATTCATTAGTTACTGGGAAAAGCGCAAACAGAAAAAGTCTGAAATATATGACTATCACCACCAAGACTCAAACCAGGGACCCGCGCTTATGGCCAGCGATGCTCTACCACTAAGTTATGCTGTGGTCGTCATCCATGCAGTGACCGTTCAACATTTTCTTCAGACTTTCAAAACTCTCACTTCCTTTGCATCCACACAGGTTGGTGAGACGCAGCTCTCACCGAAACCCATACACTCAGTTCACGTACAAACTAGCACATGGGGAGCCCCAGCACAGTATTCATATGTTTGAGAGAAAGGTGCAAAAACCAACGTGTATTTCTAATGTAGTACATGACTTGATTGCAGTTCAGAGTTATTCAGAGACACAGGCAGCTGACAGTTACGGACACGGTCTTCCCCCACGTAACCCCAGGAATGTTTGAGTATACGTATAAAATACAATGCTTGCTTTAGTCTGCCATTGAGCATTGACCACTTTATACGGACCGCCGAAGAACGGACCGCCGAAGAACGGACCGCCGAAGAACGGATCGCCGAAGAACGGACCGCCGAAGAACGGATCGCCGTAGAACGGACCGCAGAAGAACGGATCGCCGTAGAACGGCTAGGATAGAATTTTCCCAACGTCTAGGCTGGATTTTTTGCGAATGAGAACGGAAACCGTGATATACAGGATAATGTACACCGAGAGGTATAACTCTGCATAAATGTTCATGTACGACTGTACCATCGAATAAGAACGAAACTGCTGTGTTTGCTAAAAATAAGAACGGGGCTAGGCTAGAACCCTGATCCCATTCCCCCCTTTCTTCGGTGGCCAACAGGACTATAGAAATGTACACCAGTACATGCAATACCTGGTCTTCACGATCATCCATAGCACGGAGTTTCTTGCAGAAGCGCTGGGTGATGATGCTCTCTGCATAGAGACGGTCTAGAATGCCCTCTTCTACGTCCAAACTGCACTTCAACTCCACATAGCTTGAACGCAGTACTTCCTGGTGAAGCTCAGACATCTGTGAACAAGATGACGACAGATTGATGTGAATTGTTCTGTGTTAAGAAAAGCCTTTTGGGTAATCTCACTGAGCAGCACATCTGAAATCCAGAAACATACTTCTATATAGCAAGCTCACATGTTTGTATGTATTTGAAGTATTGTCATCTATGGTCTGTGCATTGATACGATAGGTCTTCAAACACAGGTGTTCCTGTTTCTTATTGCACTGGTGGTTAAGGTATGCTTCACTGTACAATCACAAAACATGCAGTTAAGTAGACTGTACAGAGCAGAGTTCTTACCCCAGTCTCAAGTTGACTACTCTTGACATGACCAGTCTGGGAGGCATCAACAATAGTCTGCATGGACAGTGTCTTGTCACTGGAACACACTGATACAGGATGCAGGTCATTGCGATGTAGTGAACACTTTCCAGGACCAGGACACACACGGAATGTCTCCACGAGCTGTGACAGACCTTGCGACGGCAGGATATCCTCCACAACGTAGCACATGGCAGTGTCCGAGAGATCCTCCAAGACAGTGCACAGGTGACTGATGGCTTTCTTGCTTCCACTTGACTTGACAATAGCTCGACTCTCCTTGACACACTCAGTGCTCACATGGCCCTCAGCACGCAAGCTTTCCATGCAGTCGCTCACATCAATCTCAGAACAGATCTTGACAGCGGCACAGTGTTTGTGCAAAGCTAGGTGATAGCATGCTGCTCTCTCAGGTTCAGACTTGCCTGGAGGTAGCTGACCTGCAGCACAAGAACACGACAAAGAAACAAACTCTAGAAATGACAGACAGGGCCCGAATTCCACCACCAATTCAACTCGGAATTAAGCACTGCAGTGATTTACAAGACAATTTTCCTGAAGACACAATGAAGAGTTCAGAGATAATGGCTTTCAGCAGCTTCATTACTAAAATTCACCAATACACCCAGCACACCAGCATGGGCGTAGACTGACTTGTGCAGGCATGTCGGTGAACCAGGTTATTCTGCTAATTTTGACACAAAAACAGTCATGCGGCTCACTACAAAACTGTCATACGGCTCACAACTGTGCTCCAATATGGCAATACCCAACATACAGGTCTTAGATAGAGGGGTACCACTTTGAATGGAAAACTGGAGACTATGCCCCTACACTGTGTCACAATGTTAGTGTATATTGTGATGGCAGTACACATGGTCAATATCTTCATTGCTCAAACCGACTAGTGTCTCACAAGAAAACTAAAGATGTGATCAAACTCATGATGTATAGTGGAACCACTTTACCTTCAGCGCATACATCACTACATACTACTAGTAAACAACAAGTCCAAATTGAAAGGCTGCACTATATTCCATTCGGAAGGTGAAACATTCTTAAATGTTCAGTGTTTCTCGGATTGTTTCAATGCCAGTCCGAATCGTCCCAAAATGGGGCAATACACTAATCAAAGAAAAATAATGTCTGCCAGTTGTCATGAAACCCGATCACGGGCTACGAGGAACAATGCGTAGATTGCAAGATCGCAAACTCACTTTTGGTACAGTGAAATTCAAGCGACGGGATCAAATTTAGCACACTCTATCTAAGCACATGTAGCCTTGTAGGTAGACACTGGCCAGCCGTACTTAAACTACAGATAGCCAGTGCAGGCTGTCGTAATAAAACGACTCATCCGTGTTCCATTTAGCACACGCTATCTAAGCACATGTAGACACTGGCCAGCCGTACATAAACTACTGAGTGTCGGTGTCAAGTGCAAGCTAAATTCTAAAGTGCTGCCAAGTGAAATCCAACATCATGAGCACGGCACTGGCATGCTCAATACACAACAAAGCATGTTTACTTCTAGGGACATGCATTTTCTGATCCGGACTAGATGTGAGGTTGGATTTCATTTGCCACCGCTGTATAACTGTTAGTACCATTAGAAGAACCCGTATCAATAACCCTGCTATGCATTTCGTTGAAATGAGCTGTGTCACTAACCTCCCGAACATGCAGCAGCATCTCTAACGACCGTCACTGGGTCGGACGAACAATCCTTCTCATCCATACTCGCCACCGTCTGAAAATGAAAGAAAACAAGAGTACACTGCTAAAGTAATACAAGAAAGTACCAAATGTGAGGCGTTGACCAATTGTCAAAGTACTTTGAAGTGTATAAAAAGCACAAGTTTTTCTCCACGTATTTGATACCATGATTCCCGTTAATAATATTTCTCCATAGTACTGATGCTACGCAAGAGGTACACAAAAGGAAATAAGATAGGGCTGTTTCGTTGTTACTCAGTACTGATGCTAGTATTCTGATGTCAAAGATTAAAAACAGAGAGGATATAGAATACCTAGTCACATTGCATAATATGAGACGTAAGGGCGATACCAATCCATGGTATACTCACGTGTGTGTCTCCAGAGAAGCATGGCCAGTAGTGCCGCACATCACTGATATCCACTGACGGACGTGCTCCAATGGTACAGCGTGGACGCAATCCCTCCACCAGTGGAGCAAAGTGTTGACAGCCAATCTCCTCACAAGACTTCTGCTTGTGTTTGCGACACGCATCTCGGCTGAACGAGCATGGACAGCGAACAGCTCTGCCAAACTTAACATGAGTCAGGGAGAATGCCTTCAGCTTGTCGAGCTCCGACTCCAGGTACGGTAGAAGCTCATGACAAAGCATGATAGCTTCAGCCTCATCCTCACTTGCAGCAGCTCCAATGCCAGCAATCAACTGACTTTCTCACACCGGCAGCAGCAGGAACAGGAGTAGCACTGGTGATCGAAGACTTAGCAGTTGGTCGAGCATCAACAGGAATCTCCAGTGACAGGCGAATGCCATGCTGGAAATACTGCATGACCAGCCAGAAGCGATCCTTCACCAGAATACGTGCCGATGTGTGATAGAGGATTGGATCCACCTTTGGACTGTAGCGTTGCATACACCTCACAACACCACACCAGAATAGGGTTTGTGGAAAGTAACGATCTGCACCACTATACAGGTACATAGCTGAACTTGGCTTGCCTTTGCTCACTTCATCTTGAACACGTGCAACTCGCTCCACGAGAGCTGGTACAAAGAACTTGCGAGTTGTCACCTCTTTCCTCTGACCAGGCACCTTCACAGTTGTCTTGGTGTTATAGAACAGGGCAAAGTGCTCACCCATCTCGAACAGGAAATCACGCTGTTCTTCTGTGGCCGTGTAGCGCGATGTCATACGATTGTGCTGTGACCAGCGGTGCAGGGCAAGACTTTCAAGGAGGATACCATTCTGAGTCAGCAAGTCGTACTGTGGACGTAGACGCTTGCTCTGCATATCCTTTGGTTCAGGACAGAAGAGCAATGACATGGTCTTCAGAATCCAGTGGATGTCGATGATTACACGATCACGAAGGCGGGCATTGTGAACAAAGTGAAGCAAATGGCCAAGACCATGGTGGAACTTCACCATCTCCTGGAAATCTGACTCAGGATCATCACTGGAGATGCTACCAACAGCAATGGCCAAGCGACGTAGCTCCTCAACCGATAACCATGGTCGTTCAAACGATTTTGCAATGTGCCCAATGGAGATGGTCACAGGAAGCCAGCGGATTGGTATGGGAACGTTGAACTGATGCTGCAGCTGCTGGATGATGTCTTGCCGTAGCTGAACAATTGCTGGGTCCTCTGGATCTTTACCAGCTCGTGTGTTGTCCACAAATATCACCTTGTCGATGTTGTTGGCGTATGCTTTTCCCTCTGCATTGGCCCAGATGTACTTCTTTATCTCTTCAGTGGCCTTCTTCCTTGCTTCTGGATTCTTAGGTAACTTGTCCACATGTGTGCCAATGGCAAACACGGGTACGTTGTCGCTGTCTCCAATGACCTCGTGGATAGCGTTGAACCATGTCTCCATCACATCAAAGTTGGTCTGCTCCAGGTGGTTGGAAAGCGGCAGTTCCTCACCATCTACACCAAATGTCGGCTTCGCTCTGGCCTGGAGCTTCTTTGATGCATCAAAGACGACAGCATATGCACATCTGGTGCAGGCCAGCACCATGTGCTGGATAGCAGCAAACATCTTCTGACCTGCAAAGTCCCAGACATCCATAAATGTCAGATTTTTGAGGTGTTCTGCAGTGAAAACTTCGCTTTTGCCTGTCCGCAGATCATTTATGAAACTTTCGAACTTCAATGTTGCTGAGTTGATTTCTGTCTGTAGTTGCTGGACATCTTGCTCTGGTGTCTCTTCCTTCAGCGCAGTCATGTCTGATACCTCTTCCGGCTTGGATGCAGTGGAAACATTCTGAGATTCCATGGTAGGACTGGTGGGTGATTGAGCAGAGTACCCGGTATTGGTGGTTTCATCAGCTTGCCTGAGAGTAGTTTCACTCACACTGGCTGTACCTGCTTGCTCAGTCTCAATCCCAACGGAAGGTGATGCTACGGGCGTTGATGGCGTTGAGGATGTGGACCTGGTGTTCTCGGGGATAGCGACGCCTTGTTGTCTCAATGCTGCTACGATCTCTTTCTTCCGTTTCTCTTGACCAACAGCTCTGTGCGTCAGGGCCAACTGCTGCTGGTAAGAATCTTCAGCTTGCTTCCAGACATACTTTAACCCTTGTTTCTCGATGGTGCAGATCACCTTCTCCAGCTCCACACCGATTGTGCTGTCGACTTGAGACATGAACGCTTGACGCAGGAGGGATCGCAGAAAGCTGCTCTTGCCTGTGCGGCCTGGCCCGCACATTATCAGGCGCCCGTACGGTATCAACTGGATACCTTCCTTGATCAGTTCACTTAGAGCTGCTGCGTACTGGCCATTATCAGCTGCACAATATATACATGTACACATACACCAGAACAAAGCACAATACATTTGATGTAGATGTGAGGAAGAAGTTATTGAAGAAACTGGGAAGGATAAGTTCAGAATGAAATGGGTCTAGCTAGCCTACAACACCCGGATTAATCCCATTTCAGCACCAGAATTTCAACATGGACAGTTTAGCACGACCATTTGAGCACAAGCATTTCAGTGGAATGTTACGGACCGCTGTGCATTCGAGCAAATTAAAGCTGAGAAGAAGGTGGTATTGAATCTCTTGAAGTTGCACCACATTATCTGCACGCCACGTGCCTGTGGTAATGCACTGAGTGTCAGTGCAAAACATTTCCATAGCACTTCTTATCCTAGCACTGTTCAAACCAGTGTCTGCCAATCATGTGAAAAGTCTGCTGAAATCACATGCTCTGCAACATTTCTCATTATCTATTACAGTCAACTTGGCTAATAACGACTGCGGATATAACGACAATTCGCGAATAACGACAGAATTTCGATGCCCAGAGCAAAGTCCCATCTAGCTGTATTATATTTTTCTTCGGATACAACGACTATCTGAATAACGACATTTTGCGGATAGCAACATGCTTTTAGTGCCCCGAGGTCATATTCACTGCTTGAATAACGACTTTCAGGGCTTTTGACAGCTATTTCAAATACCTGTCATGCAGTAATACCAGAACCCATGGTGACGGATAAAGGCACACATGCAAGAAGATGCAGCCAAGGGGGGGGGGGGGGCTTTTATTTTTTGCTTCAAAATAGTTTGGGTGATGTCATGTAGTTGTACATGATTGTAAAGTAATCATCATACATGTACATGATTGTGCATGTCCCTGTAGATGGCTGCAAAAGGCTAATTTTTCAATCTATTTCCCTTGCATATTGACTTTATAGTTCCTTTCAATCGTAATATGAAAATAAAGTACACAATGCATAGAGCAGGAAAAGAGCTTCATTTTGATATGCATGTCATACTAGACAAAATACGGGTTCACATACATTCAAATGGGACTTCGGGTATAAGGACACTTCGCGAACAAGGACACTTTTCTGATGCTCAGCCAAGTGTCGTTATTGGCAAAGTTGACTGTATTTGATTATGAGGGGCATTCCTCCCTTTCACACTGCCATTGTTTCACCAGTACAGAAAACTAAGTACATCAAGCAGACAATTCTTCCGCAGCTCCAGTTACAATGCAGAGGCTGTCCTACCTTTCGTACTGACATTGTTTCACCACAACAGAAAACTAAGTAAGCCAAGTAGACATTTCTTGCGCAGCTCCAGCTACCATGGAAAAGCCGTCACCGTGCCGACATGACATGTCAACACCTCATACATCTACCATAGCTGATTAACTGGTATCCTGCAGGCTAGGTGTTCGTTGCATAGTATACTGTCTTTATGACTCTGTGAGTGTGTGTGTGAGCTGAAGACATACATGTACATCTAGACTACCATGTTTACATGGACACTCCAGCAACAGTCAATGTAACTACATAGCACATAGCACCCAGCACTAAATACAACTACCCGCTAGTACTCGGTATACTAGTACTAGTATACTGGCAACAACCGTGGGTACAGACAGAACAGTACCAGTAAATAGCGCATAATGGCATATGCATACCCTGGTCTACTGCCAGTCAACTCCAGGAGTTGTGCGCACAGTGTTTGCACAAGTGCATGTAGGAGCGCATGATGTTACGAAATGATGACTGATTTTCGGATGAATTGCGCAGACCACTTCGGACGACCTTTGTCTCACCGGTCATAAAGTGTGCGACGCCATTGAGTGTGACACTTAAAGGGGAAGTTAAGGCAAAAATAAAAAATTTCACCAGTTGTAGTCTTCGGGGTGCTGAGTCGAATGGTCGTGGTCCGAGGAAGCTGAGACGCTCCCTTCCTACTTGAATCCCAATCGAACTCGCGCACTTCCACCGAAACTGGGTGACTGCGCCCTACGAGATGGGGATTTGTATGCAAAATGTCACTAAAAGCGCCATTTCGTTCTTATAAAAGCACGGATGACCGCGATTGGCCCAAATGTTGTAGTCTTTTGGACGCTGAGTCGACTGGTTTTGGTCCGAAAAGGCTGCGATGCAGCGTTCCTCCTTTATTCCCAATCGAACATGGTTGAACAAGCGGTCACGTGCTCCTGCGTACGCCAGTCACCTGGTCACCGTGCCTGCAGGGTACAACTTACTAGCCTGTTTGACCTTTTTTTGGGTGCAGTCCTGTCACTCGAGTTGAACCTTGGTGTGAAAGTTGTCGCCTGCTGGCGTGGTGACCAGGTGATTTGGGCACCCAGGAGCACGTGACCACTTGTTCAACCATGTTCGATTGGGAAAAAAGGAGGAACGCTGCATCGCAGCCTTTTCGGACCAAAACCAGTCGACTCAGCGTCCAAAAGACTACAACATATGGGCCAATCGCGGTCATCCGTGCTTTTATAAGAACGAAATGGCGCTTTTAGTGACATTTTGCATACAAATCCCCATCTCGTAGGGCGCAGTCACCCAGTTTCGGTGGAAGTGCGCGAGTTCGATTGGGATTCAAGTAGGAAGGGAGCGTCTCAGCTTTCTCGGACCAAGACCATTCGACTCAGCACCCCGAAGACTACAACTGGTGAAATTTTAATTTTTGCCTTAACTTCCCCTTTAAAATAACAGTGATCACTGGCAAAATCAGGTTTTGCTAACTTAACCACACGCTTTTCTGTCTTTCTGGGGTATTTTGCGCTGACCTTTTCGGCACTCATTTCCACGGCGCTCTAATTCGCAGAAGGATTTACTGTCAGGCTGAGATGTTCCTCGATAACTCTGTGGACACTTAGTTTCGCCGGCCGCG